GGTTACTGTAGTGTCACATAAAATAACTATTCATAGAATCATAAATAAGTTCATAAAGACAAGGTAATTACTGCCCCTTCCCCCCCCCCCAAAAAAAAATTAGATCCTAAGTGCTCACTGAAGAGAAATTGATTGAAATCAGAGGAAGGCTTGAGCATTCTCAGTAACCCTGCAGACACCTTGCAGATTAGTGTGTTGATTCCACATTCAGGTTAGAAGAGTCACCTTTGTATCCTGAAAACAAAAGCACCATATTACTGCAGAATGTGAATAAATTTCTAGTAGACACCTCAGTATGAACATAGAAGACTTCATAGTCACTGCCAAGTGAACCTCAAATCTCAAAATAGTTAAGATTTATTTGTAATGTGTAGGTTTGTTAGTTCCATTGGCAGTCTGAATCAGTGTCTGAGTGTCCTGTCTGAGCAGGTGAGAGGTTTGTGGACACCCCAAAAAGTGTCCTGCATAATGGAGTTTAAGTTCAGTATTAAATTGGAGAGACAAGATGTATGTAGTTTCGTTTGTTATACTTTTTCATCTGCCGTCTGGAAGATAAAGTCTCTTGTAAACATATTGTGACAGGTCTCCTGAAAGGTAGAATATCAGAACCAGAGAGGATAGCCATAGCTAGGGAACGGGTCTGTAAGCATGTTTCCACAGCAACCAAATCGTGTGCCTGCCACAACAGATACTCACGCAGGAATAGAGGAACAGTCCTGTAGGACTTGGCAAGAATCACTGTTGGTCAGGGCCAGTAGCAGTTAGTATTCAGCCTACAGTCAGTTTGGACTAGGAGGTCATTAGTTACCGTCATAGGTTAGATGTGCAAGGGTCACCAGTCAGCGAGGGCCGGAGTCATTGAGAAATGGGAGCAGAGGACGATGTTGGGAGCCAGTACCGGACAGTGCATAGTGAAGAAATGGAAGACTTAATGCATGCCATAGTGAACTGTGAAGAGTGAATTAGCAACGGCACTGTAATTAATTGTAGTTATGATTTGTAAGAGTCCAATAAATTCAGTTACCAGTTCAAATCCTGTATCTATGCAGAGATACATGACAATATTTTAGGCACCCTTTGACTATTCTTGAGGACTTATACACATTTTGAATTTATTGTGGAAAAGGAAAATGAAAGATTTAAGCCTGTTCCATTTTTTTTCCTAATTTATGGTTTAGAAGATGAATGTATTTGAAAGTAGTGCAAATGTCAACCCAATTTCTACACTGTTATGTAATGAGTAGGTCAGGACAGCTGCTTTCTTCCTCTGCCTCTCTTGTACATATTATTGAGCAACCAGTGTCAAATAGTTCTGAAATGAGCATAGTAGACAGTTTTATTTGCTACCTATTTTTCTCCTCTACTTAGCATTTAGGATGACAAACAGTATGAATATAATATTTCAGACTTTAAAGCAGCCTTTCAAATTCTTATACTCCTCTGTTTAAGCAGGCAGGACTGCCATAGAGAGGTTAACTTTAAACTGCATTTGATATGTTGAAACTTGCCCAGTGAGCAACCATAACAGTATTATGAAGGGTGTACTTCATAGTACACAAAATTGTTGTAGTCACCATGGTACCGCATTTTGTTATTTATTTTTGTGTGACTCACTTGGACTTTGGTGTGGTAACTACATATAATTAAATTGGGCCTTGCTTGTGGTTAAGTTATACTGCTGAGCAGCAACTCAGAAGGCCTGAACAAATGAACATACAATAAAATTTAAAAATAACCGAGCAATTTGTTCATAGTTTTTGAATGCTTGGTCCAAGAATTGTCTTTCTGGCATCTCATAGAATGTTTGAGGTGAAACATACATGCATACATATAAAACGGCCACTGTTAATAATAAGATAATATGTGTGGTCTTGGTTATTTCACAGCACAGAAGGTATTTAGCAAGCATCATTTCATAGTTTATTTAGTCCAATTTCTATGTCTTGTACAGTTTTACAGTGCTCTTTATATGGAGAATGGGTGGTGGTATAACATGCCATTGGTTTTGATTGATCTGTATGTGTCAGCCACTGTGGTATGTTTCTGTTGAAGGTTCAGCTGTTGCTGTTATGCAACAGTAGCAGTGCAAGCTTGAAACTTACATGTAACCTTTTATGAACTTAATTTTGTGAATGTAATGTGACATGACACCTAAAAGTTGGAATTTTTTAAATTAGAGAAATGTCACAGAGGCATCCATTGCTAAGTAACATCAAGCACCAATCTCTGACAGCCATGTAAGTGTGCAGCACTGGAGGATCTGTTTAGTGTGGTGGCTTTGAATTAGTTGGTCTCAAAGCAGCATACAGAGGGTCTACAAGCTTACAGAGGAGTCCCCGTTATCATTACCAGAAATCTAGCAATGTGTGTGTGAAGACAGAGCCAGCAAGCAACAGTGATATAACAGATTATGAAATTATAGTACATACTGATATACTGTATAGTGTTTGTAAATAAGAGAGCAGGAAATAAAACCAATTACCAATCTGAACCCTGTGTCTAGTCACTATCTCATAACATTAATATGGCATGTAAAAGTGTACAGATGACATTTAAATGTTAACCCATTTGCTGTTACATAAATGAATGCATCAAATTACCTATTCCAGTTGAACAGTGACTGTGCATTGCATGTTCTACCTCTCTAAATGGTGTAATATTACTGCTAACTGTCCAAGTCAGCTGCACTTTCCTATTTTTTTTCTTTTAAATTCGATTAGTAGGGGGTGGAGTCCAACTGGGTCCACTCAGCACGGCAGCTACTGAATGGCCTATTGTAGCCTGTCCTGGGTGATTATGATGATGGAGAATTTGGTGGAATGAAGATTGGCAGGGGAAACCGAAGTACTCAGAGAAAACCCACCCCAGCACCACTTTGTCCACCACAAATCCCACTTGACCAGACCCAGGATCGAACCCATGCCGCTGCAGTGGGAAGCCAGCGACTAACCACTTGAGCTATGGCGCGGCACTTGCACTTTCCTAAATGATGCTTTTAATGATGCCACACCCGAGCTCTGATCTATCGGTATAATTCAGAATCTCAATTTATGATTCAGTAAAGCTTGTGATACTTGACCTTCCATTGCCTCTCATTGCCATATAAAATTCCACATGTGACAAATTTGGAAATGTTAAGCAGTGCTTCTCAGTTCCTAGTCCAGGCATCTAAACAAATGTTAATCTCTGCCTTCTTATCCCACAGTAAGTCAAGAATATGAGCCACTTCCTTCCCAATGAACATTTTCTGAAAGTGTCAATTGGAACTCTGCTGTTCTTCAGAATTGCCTCACTTTAGACACAATTCTTTAACATACATCTGTATCAAAAGTGGCACTACTTTATGCACTGACAGATGAATAACATTTCAAAGTAAAATGTAGAAAACATACAGTGCCATAAAATTCATACAAATTTGTTGAAATAAAAAGAACAACATAGTAAATTAAATTGAGCCAAATATGTGATCAGTAGTATAAGACATCATACTCAGCTTAATAAATCCTTGGTGCTGCATTGAAACACTCAAGATGGCAGCACAGCCTTATGCAGTTATTAAAGTGTAGTCATTTGATCGTTAGGTGCTTTGATTTTTATTGTCCCTATGTTTGAGGCCATTTAAAAAATGTGCCTTATAATATTCTAATGAACTGCCTTCCAAAGTTTCATGTATTCTTGTGTCAGTGTGTATGTTTGAGGAACTAAGCCTCTGTTTGTTTCTTAATCTTTGAACTTTACAAAAAAATATGATGTAAGATGCCTAGTATTATTTACTTTACTGGTTTTATTTTTATCTACTTTTCCAAGTGTATTGAAATTAACTTTAAATAATTATGGTGCTCCTCTGTATATAACAGTTTGTAGTTCTTGTTAGCCTGCTTTCTATTCTTAAATAAAAAAAACAGGCTTATGGAATCGCCATGCTGTGTGTGTGTGTATGTGTATGTATGTGTATGCATGCACGCTCTTATTTCTAAGGCCCCTTTCAACTTACAAAGTGGGTGACCAGTTTTCATGAGATAATCTCAGCACCATGCTTTTCAACATCATAAATAAGTGATGATGATGATAAAACACGAACAATATAGATGCATGAATTTGTGGGGTGAGAGGGACACTACCTATTCAATTTATTGTGCTCAGATTATGTATGTTGTTGTTGTTGTTGTTGTTGTTGTTGTTGTTGTTGTTGTTGGTGGTGGTGGTGGTGGAGGGGGTGGGTTTCCCCATGCACTTAGACCAGGTATTGGTCCATTGTGCGTCCCCTCTTTGATATTCTACCAGTCTCTATACCCTACCGGTATTGGTGCGTGCCATCAGCCCTGACTCAGCCAGCGAGTTCAGCCTCTACTGGCTTAGCGGTACCTCGATGCTTCCCCCCTCTATCAGAGGCATTAGAGACTACTGTTGGGAGGGAAATGTCCTGAATTTGGCTCAGAGGTCTCCTTGAGACATGAGGTTCTTTTACGTGCCGTAAAGCTACGACACGGGACCCACGGCTTAAAGTCCCTCCCGGAGGACTTGTTCCTTGAATATTTGCACCCTTGAAAATTCCACGACCTCCACCGGGTTTGAACCCGCGTACCTTGAGTCATGTGGTGGGAACGTTACCCCTAGACTACGGAGGCCACTTAAATTATGTATGTTAGTAATTTGAAAAATGTGCAACTTACATTGAAGCGATTTTTGGTAGAACATAAGATAATATGACAGCTGTGCGACATGGTTTGTCATACACATTATGTGTGATGTATTGTTTGCAGGTTGATAATTATAATTATGATGAAACTTATAGCTTACCCTGGACAGATTTAGTATGAAATCTGTCATAAAATTCTATGAAGTCACATATGTTTCCATTTCTGAACTCATGTGGCTGATTCTTTGTCTTTACTACCATTTGTTTACATTGTGTAATAAAATGAATAGTTATGCCTTACTTGCTCTGAACTCTGAATATCCTATTTGTTTTATCATTGAACTTTCTTTTCTGCTTTCAGATGTCTCCTTCAAAAGACGACATTTCTGCTTTTGCAGTTTACAGTTCAAAGAAAAGTAAAAGGAAAAGAAACAGGAAATCGAGTACCAAGACAGAGGAGACGGAGGATATGTTTCAAGCAGCGGAGGAACCTGATGTTGAAGAAATTTTAAGTACTGATGATGACCCTAGTGCATCTAGTCCTTGTAGTGTCAAAGACAAGAGAAAAAGGAAGAAAAGCAACATTTCCTTTACCGTTACTAGTGAACAGTCCAGGACTCCTGGTGCTGAAATTGTGGATGTAGAAGAGAATTCTGATGATGTATTACTAATTGAGAATGCAACTCAAGGAAAAAAGAAGAAAATTGTATTAAATCCTGAAAATGAAGAAAATGAAGATCAGGAGGTTATATTTCAAGATTTCATCAGGAAGAAGACAAATGGAGTGAAACTAAAAAGGAAACCCACGAAAGGGATGAAGAAAGGCACCATGGTTTCAGAGGACTCATCTGTGGGTCAAGATGTTTTCATAGTGGAGGATGTGGAGGACGCAGAAGAGGACAACTACAGTGGCAACAGCTTGGTGGAGGGCAAGAAGTTATTTGCATGGCTTATAAATCCAGTTGTTCCAGAAGTTTTCTTCAGGTAAGTTTGAAATGATTTCATATCATTTGTTTTAAAGGGAAACCACTTGGGATAGTAAATTCAAGTTACAGAGAAAAGGTCTACAGAAAGAAGACATACAGAATAATGTTTACTTGTTCTCATGCTGGGTATGTGTTATTTTTAAGATTGTTCACATATGTTTGGGAATGTGAATCGGATTTATTTGTGTCATGTTGGCAGCTTCTGATTTTTATACTTTTAATTATAAGGATTACTTTTCAGTTCTCATGTATATGAATTTAACACCAGTATTTTTTTAATTTCTTTTTGTCACAGATAAATCTTTCATTTCATTATGTGTGACTTGAAAAAGAAGATTGTCATATGACTCAGAAGTTAAGTAAATAAAGGTAATGATGTCAAGAATGTGTAACTTTCTACTAAGAATTTTAGTCAGAGAGCCTGAAGGGAAAATGAAGCTAAAGATGAGAGGATAATATTAAAATGCCTCTTAAAGAAAGCGTATGAGAATTTTGACTGGATTTTTGTGACTAAGGATGGGTTTTTGTGGCCACATTAATGCTTCATCCATGGAGTTAGATCACAGATATGTTGAAGGCATTTCGGTTTCTGTCCAGTTGACAATGATGTTTATTTAAGTTCTTTGGCATATAAATTACAGAAAGTAGAATATACATATTTAGTTGCCTTAATAATGCTATATTCATTTTTTATAATTTTAATATATACAGCAACTGGTAAAGAGATGGAAGAGTATGACAATTTTTTAATCAGCACTCATTTACATTTGTTTAGGTTATGATACATTCCAAGACATGAAAACCCCCCAGTGTCCTGTCAGTTGGTGTTTATTTCTTTTGATTAACAAACACTGAGTAATCATATTGTGGCATATACACAATGTGTGCAGGTTCTGTTAGGACTGTGTTCATTAAAAATACAAGATGTGAATTATTTTCAAAATTTCACCCCTTTTATTCAAAATAGTCTCCTTCTGAATCAGTACATAGCTGGAATCGATTGGAAAGTTTTTGAAAACAGCCACTGTACTCATTTTGTGGAATCGCATTTAAAACTGTGGTAGATTCCTTTTGGATGCCCTGGATGGTGTCGTGACAGTCTCCTTTCATCGCCAACTTAACTTTTGGGAACAACCAGAAATCTGCTGGAGCCAGATATGGCGAATACAGAGGATGATCAAGGACTGTGAACCCTTTTCTAGCCAAAAAATCGTGCACGAACTTTGATTTGTGGGGTGGGGCATCGTTGTGGAGGAGCAACCAGGAACCTTGCTCTCGATATTCAGGTCGAATTTGAAGAATTCTTACCCACAAACGATTGAGAACTCCAAGATAATAATCAGAATTCACTGTTTTACCTTCTGACAGAAATTCCTTGTGAATGATTCCTTTGGAATCGAAGAAAACGGTTAGCAGTGTCTTTACTCGACTCTTTTGCATGTGCAGTTTCTTTGGTTTCGGCTTCTTTGGGCTCAACCATGCTGCACTCTGCTGCTTTGTGAGAGGCTGCTATTGAAAACACCATGTCTCGTCACCAGTAACAATCGATTTTGTAAGTTTTGTATCACTTTGGGCCGACCGTAACATGTCTTTGCAGTGTTCCACTCTGGCATATTTTTCATCACCTGACAGCGCGTGCGGTACAAACCGCACACATACCTTCTGTTTGCCCAAATCCTCAGTCAAAATTTGATGCACAGTACTTTTTGGTATTCCCAAAAGCTCCTCTATAAGTTGCAGAAACACATCTGTCTGATGCAAGGATTTCGGTCACTTTTTTTTTTCCACATTTTCTTCAGTGTGATTTGTTGTCGGCTTTGATGCATGTGGAGTGTCTTCAGTGTCCTCCCTGCTGTCACGAAATACAGCATACCATCGAAAAATGTTCGAGTGACTCAAACAATCACTACCATACACACTTGTCATCATTTCATATGCTTCTCCCTCTGTTTTGCCTAACTTCAAACAAAATTTCATGTTGGCTCTCTGTTCAGCCATCATTTTCTAACGAGCATCAGAACAGTACTGTTACATTCAAGGACAGAACACATGATGCAGCGATGCTTGCGCTTTGTAGTTATAGACAGCCCCAGCTGAAACTTCAAGAATCTTAACGCCACAACTCACCAACAGATGGCATTGCAGGGCAAAATTTAAAAAAATGAGCCCTAACAGATCCTGAACACACTGTGTAGATCTGTTGCTAGGTATCAACTGTGAAACAGACGAGACAACAGCCATTGCTAGGCAGTAGACCACGTGCAACAATAGAAGGACTGTTGGAAGCAGTGTTTTCTGCATGGTCCTCTTTGAGGCTATATGACTCAACTGCCCAGGTTCGGTGTCCAAGTCTCGCGTGACATGTGACCATATTTTATAGTCTCAGATTCAAGACTCCCCCAGCATGGAGGGTCAGATCCCAATATTTATATCCCCTAGGAACAGGGTTACCTAGCAGTGACTGTTGAGTAGTGGCTTATTTTGTCATTGTTGCCTAGCATTTGGTCTGTATGCCACAATATGGTTGGGCAGGTCAAAACATAGGTACTTTCTACCCATCCGTCTGCAGGGCCTTCACAGAAAGATCTCTTTTGGACCATTTGTTTTGATGTTGCCATGCTTGCATAAAGTAATACTGGGAGTTTAATATGGTAATGTTGGCTGTGAAAGTGCCATGCAGATGCAAAGAAGTTACTCTGACATTATTTTAATGTTTGTGATCCTCCTTCAAGAACACGTGTAATGAATGTGGTACAGAAACCTGAAGAGGCTGGTTCTGTGTGAGAAAATGTCAGATGTGTTGGACATAAGTGAACAGTAAGAGCTGATGAAACCAGCCAATGTCTGAAGGAAGTCGAAGGAAGTTAGTTTCTTGTCTCTCAAAACATTTCCTTTGTGGAGCATCCCAAACACTCAAAATGTTGCCAGGAATTTCTTTATGCTTGCACAATATTTACACAATTGAAAACCAGTATCACAGTAAGCACCCACCATTCTATAGTGTAGGATGCAATCTTTAAAACTACTGCTGTCAGACTTAAAATCATAGCCTTCCTTTACACAGCCATACTGACATTAGAACAAGTGGTCCAACTAAAATAGAAATTTAAATAAAGTAAATAGTCATTCGTTTCATGAAGACCTACTTGGTATATAATTTCAGGCTGTTAACTTATATTAATTCAAGTGTTAAGGCAGGTAAATGTTAAAAATATTGCTTTGGTTCTTAAGCCTTAATGTTCCTTAAACCAAAGGAAGACAATGATCATTGCTTTGGTTCTTAAGCCATAATGTTCCTGAAACCAAAGGAAGACGATCCTTGCATTGCATGGCTGATTTAACAGTGTAAAATATGTTAACTTTCTTGCAGAAATGCATGGGAGAAAAGGCCGCTACATATAAAACGTGGTGTTCCAGAATACTACAAGCCAATTATATCTACACCAGATATTGACAAAATGTTGAGAAATTATAATGTTCAGTTTACAAAGAATTTGGATGTAACATCATATTCTGATGGTAAAAGAGAGACACATAATCCTGTTGGCCGTGCTCTGCCAAGCATTGTGTGGGATTACTACAAGAATGGTTGCAGTGTTCGTTTGCTTAATCCACAGACATTCATTCCAAAGCTTGCTCTTTTAAATTCATCTTTGCAAGAATATTTTGGTTGTTTTGTTGGAGCAAATGTGTACTTGACACCTCCAGACTCACAGGGCTTTGCACCGCATTATGATGACATTGAAGCTTTTATTTTGCAAGTTGAAGGTCAGAAACACTGGAAATTGTATCCACCGAAGTCAGAGTCTGAAACTTTACCAAGATTTTCAAGTGGAAATTTCAGTCAAGATGAAATAGGGGACCCTATAATGGAAATTACTCTAAAGCCAGGTGATTTGTTGTATTTTCCACGAGGTACAATTCACCAGGGTCGTACTGTACCTGGAATTCACTCATTACATGTAACACTGTCATGCTACCAGCGCAACACGTGGGGTGATTTAATGGAGAAGGTTGGTAGAATTTGTCAGTGCTTATTTAGATATTTTTCAAGTCATATTTAGAGCACTTCTTCATTTTAAAGATGCCAATCAATCCTGGATAGGAAATAAACTATTCTTTGTATCTGCAGACTTTTTAGTGGACAGATGATTAGATGGATAATAAATATGTGAAATTTGAGGTTTTAACAGCAGTGACTATGCAGATTACCCGTCTTGTGGGATGTTATGCTGTGTAGTGTGTTAGGTAGTTTTGTAGTGTTACTGTAGTATCTCTACATATTCTGAGGTATGTAATCTTTCTTGACATGCTAGGCAACTTTTGATATACTTTGGTGGCTGTAAGACATTCATCCAACAGGAGTGAAATGTCACTTACATTAAAAATAAGGATGTTTTATGTGCTGAATAACAGATACAGTGTTCATATATAGAAGTTTAATGATAATTTTCTTGCATTCATGCTCAGATTGTGTATTGTTTTATTGATTTTATATAAGTATTTTGAGTACACAAGGTTGGCTAACATGAAACAACTAGGGTGAGCAGGAAATAGTTGTCAAAGAACTAACTGTATTGAATAAAATCAGTTTCAGGTTATAGTTTTTAGTTGGTTACTAGGTGAATTTATGTTGATTCATATCTGTATTTCTTAGGAAGAAATGTATATTTTTTTGGTTTTATTTGTTTTATTGATGTCACTGTGAGTATTTGATAACAAGAGTACTCTCAGTATGGGATTGTTCAGAAAGTAACCTCTGTTTATTTTAGGCAACTAATGTAGCAGCAGGAGAGAACTTGCACATATGAGGTAGGATTACATGACTCATTGCCTTGTAAACCATCACGTAACTGGTCACCTAGTGTTGGCTATTGGTATTACTGAACTATGCATTTTATGACCACTGAATTTTAAGAGAATCTAAAATAAATAGCCTGAGAGTAAAGAGCTTAGTTTGTTTCAACAGCAGGTACTTCACTTCTTGAATATTTTGTTGTTACCTTTCAGGTAATTACTGCAGCGGTACGAGTGGCAATGGAAGAGAACATTGAATTCAGAAGAGGCTTGCCTCAGGATTATTTGAACTTCATGGGTGTTGCACATAGTGATAAGTCATCAACCCAGAGAACAGACTTTATAGAGAAGATCAAGTCTCTCATGGCAAAACTGTTTGACCACGCACCAATAGATGCAGCAGTCGATCAGATGGGAAAGCAGTTTATTCATGATGCATTGCCACCGATGCTAACTGCAGGTGAAAATCTCATTTGAGATGAAACAAACTTTCATACAGTATTTATAAAGGAATATGTACATACACACACATGCACAAGAAACTCCCAGAGAGAGTGAGGGGGGGGGTAATACCCAAGTAAGGTGTGAAGAAAAGGAGAAAAGCATGACAAAAAGTTGTGTATGGAAAAATAGTACCTGTTAACTACCTGAAGTACTGGTTGAGATCACAGTGCTTCAGCAATAGTGAGGAGTTTATGGAAGGTGTCAAAACATGGCCAAGTTTGCAGGTGGCAGACTCCCATAACATAGGTATACAAAACCTTATTCCCTGATATGACAGGTGCCCCACTTCTGGCAGTGACTACATTGAGAAGTAGCTTAAATATGTACATATTTTTTTATATATGATTAAATTGCTCTTCTTGCTGCTTGTTTTTAATAGGTCAGTGAAGGTTACTTTAAAAATAGCCCTTGTATATTTAATTTTTCTTTTCATGTAGTATAGTAAATAGTGAAACCTTGATGATGTTTGTTTATTCACTCACTATAGACCTATATTTTTTATTTACATCAGTTTGAGTAAGTCTCAACTAACAGTGAACAGTTGCATGCTTTTTATTGTAAAGGAAGAGTTCATCATAGTGAAGTTCACAGATATTTTCATAGCCTTTATTATCCCTTGTTCCCAGTGTCTGTGTTAAATACACACTGTGCACTTTCAAATTCATTATCTTATCCCAGTTTGGAAGTGTCTGCAAGGAAATGTCTCTAAAGAATTCAGTATTACCAATATAAAAAGGATTTCAAATGAGCAGCCTATAAATGTAAGTGAAAGGCTGGATGGTAATGCCCATAGGCTTAAGATTTTCTTAATTGAAGTTCAGTTTCTCCACCTTGTGTGCATACATTTACCATCTTGAGACTGCAACACTTGATAGACTTGATTAAACACCACTTAGTGTATGTTTTGTATATAACATGTTTGAGCTGTATGGGGCCATCGTCAGGTATGTGTGAGTCAGTAAATTGCTGCACCATATTGTAATACTTCATTGTGCATGAGACTTGAATGTCTAAAAGTTTTTTAAAAACCAAGTTGAATCCTTTCTAAATTATAAAGATGGTGTATTACACATTTTTTCCTATAATCTCCTTTCTTGTGTTTTGTTTGTTGTAGCTTGTTGGCAGTGACATGCATATTTCTTGGGTGTTTTTTGGTTCTGTATGCTGTGTAAGTGCAGTACAAAGACTGTTTTAGGAATATATATTGTATGCTCTACTAATGCACCTGGATGTTCCATTACAATATTCAGTTTTTGGCATCCGAATGAATGACTGTACTTGTGTTCATTTTCCTTCATTACAGATCACTTTAATGTTAAAATTCATTTCACATCATGAAAACATTAAATGGGCATCTCATTGGTTTTTTGGATTTTATTGTGTTTTGACCAAGCAACCTCAGACATGGCTACGTGGTTTCTGAATTCGGGTGCACCTTGAACTCAGGATTTATGCAGCCCTTCTGTCATATTTGTCTGACTAAGTATGTACAGATTGAAAATCTTTGTAACTTCATTATTTATGAATCATGCTCTTTGAATCTGTCATGGAATTTTTAATCCTACTCTGTCATTTCTCAATATACCTTGGAAAATACCCTCTCAGTCCATGAAGAAGCTGGACTAAACCATTTACTGGTAAGAACATTGAGGTTGATCAGTGTCAGACTAGAAGCTAGTGACTGTACTGTATCAACATCATCATCAGTAATCTGTCAAGATGACAGGTCCACAGTCTCTTAAAAAACAATTCCTCCACTTAATGCGATCTAGAGCTTTCTCCTTCAAGTGACAGTATCCTCTTCTGTCCCCAAGGTCATCCAGCATCTTCTTACATCTTCTTCCTCGTCTTCTTGTCACTTCTATCCGCCCATCTATCATTCCTTCGATAACTTCTTTTAGAAGGCAGTTTCTGCGTAAAACATGACCAATCCAATTAGCCTCCCGTTTTCTTATTTCATGTAGGATATTCCTCTGCTCACTGACTCTAATTAACACTTCTTCATTTCTCACATAATCGGTCCAACTGATCTTCTCCATCCTTTCCAACACCACATTTCAAAACTTTCCAGATGCTTCTCATCTACTGCCCTAAGTGTCCATGTTTCAGTCCCATACAGAGCTATGCTCCAAATGTAGCATTTCACTAGTTTGTTCCTCAAATTTAAGTCCAATTTGCTGGTAAAAAGATTCTTCTTGCTAAATGCAGCTTTTGCCATGGCAATCCTGGATTTAATTTCACTAGTACACCTTCCATCATCTGTTAACAAGCTACCCAAATATTTAAAACATTTCACATTCTCCAGTTGTTTTTGGTCTATCTTTATTGTGACTGGGGTTGGTTGTCTCGAAATTTTCATTACTTTTGTTTTCTCCACATTCATTTCCATGCCATAGCACCTTCCAGTTTCAGTTAGTCTGTCAATCATGCCCTGTAGCACAGTTTCTTCCTTAGCCATTAACACAAGGTCATCTGCATATTTCACAGTTTGAATAATTTGCCCTCCTACTTTGAAGTCTCCGAGCCCATCCAGAGCTTCCTTGGTAAGGCATTCGCTGTACAAGTTGTACTGTATATTGGAATAAAATGAAAACCTTAATGTAATTAAAGTTCTTTTGTATTTTTTAATGAAAAGTTGTATATCATATTGCCCACTTAGAGTTCAACTGTAGCATAGATTGGACCTCTCAAACCCAGCATTCTGTGGCCTACCACAATTTTTAGTGTACTTGATGGCCCCTAAATATGGCTCCAGAGTAATCAGAAAGCAATGGCAGTGAGAGTAGTGCTTGTAAGTGCAAATGTTATACTATTTCCTTTCACCAGCACATTCTACATTATAACTGTGTAACAGCATCAACATATTATATGTTATGATGGCTTATTTAGGTGTTTTTGTACTGTACCATGTTGAGCAGTCATGGTTTGGAAAATTTGTGGTCCACTTCTAGTCTCTTCCTAAAAATACAGGAATTGAGAGGTTCAATATGTATTGGTGCTTTATATTTGCAGAAGAGAAGCAGTTCTCGTGTGTTGGCGATGGGCTTAGAATGGGGCCCAATGGAGAGATTATTAGTGGTGGCGAAATTACCTTGGACACAAAAATAAAGCTTTTAAGAGCACATGTTATCAGGTAATATTGTAAGTGTGGAAGTCATTGGAATATTACGAGGGTCATACTGAAAGTCATGAGCAACAATTTTTTGTAAAGTAACATGCTTTATTATTGACAAACCAAATACACCACCTCAATCTACAGACCTTTCTTTATTTTTCCACATAATCGCCACTTCTTTGTACACATTTCTCCCAGCATTCTGGGAGTTTGAAAATTCCCCTTCCGTAAAATTCCGTTCCAGCACACTGATGTACTGCTTTCTGAATTGCCTTCTGTGTCTCAAAACGTTGTCCACGCAGCTGATCCTTCACAAATCCGAAAAGATGGTAGTCGGAGGGTGCCAGATCAGGGCTATAGGAGGGGTGTGGAAGAACTTCCCACCCCATCTTTGCAATTGCTTCCAATGTGAACTTTATGGTCTCCGGTCAATAACCGCGGGACAATGTGTACAAAAAGTGGTGATTATGTGGAAAAATAAAGAAAGGTCTGTAGATTGAGGGGTGGTGTATTTGGTTTGTCGATAATAAAGCATGTTACTTTACAAAAAATTGTTGCTCATGACTTTCAGTACGACCTACGTATATGCGTAAGCCTGCATAAAAGATGATAGTGAAGGTCTTGCATGGTTGAGATTAGACACGTTTAAGTTAAGTAGTTTAGAAGAAAGGGTGAAGGAGAAACTGCCCTTTATACAGCTGATAAGAACAAAAATTCATTGATATGCTAGAACAGTTCAGAAATTAGACTTCATCTGTCAATAAACACATACTGTAAGACATTGCATATAGGATTTATTGAATTTAAAATAAATGAATGAATGGAAGTGTATAGCATAGAGGATTATGTGTGATGACAGGGTCTCTTTGTTTTGTTTGTTTGGTTAATAGGCTGCAAAAGTGGCATGTATTTTCTGAAAAGGTTTTTTAGAAATTCATTCTGTTTGCAAAAGCTGCAAGTCAGCAGAGTGCAGCACATTCTCCCAGGGAACCTCACTGCAAGAGAAACATAATTTCCACATCTGGCAGCTCTCTGTCAAAAGAAGGCATTCTTCATATTTCCCTGCAGTTAAATATACATGAAAGCATTATGTTTCCTGCCCAGCATACCACATAAGACTATGAAAAGAATAAGATTTAAAAGTTGTGACAGTGGTGTATTAATACAATTATCAATGTTTTGGACATTATGGTATCCATCCACTTGTTTTTATTTTTTAAATTCAATATTCTGAAGACCGGAAGGGAAAGATCTGGAGAAAGGCACTAACTCTATTGATTGGGCCCAACTTAATAGGCATTTACCTGAGGATGGAGATCTACATCGAACCAGCACACAGTGTGGAACACACTGAACGTACATACTCCCAGACGAGAAACACATACATCATATTGTATGGTTATATAAAGATACAGATTGTGAAAATAGCATACCAGTATACTATACAGCAACAACCTGTACATCATAGAAACTCGTATTTGGGCTCCCCAACCGGCCTTACTATGTAGAAAGCTTCTACAAAATAGACCTTCACACAACATACGTGCCCAGTTTCTACACTGTAGCTTTGGGCTCCACAACCGGGCTTACTACGTAGAAAGCTTCTACAAAAAAGACCTTCACATAACATACATGCCCAGTTTTTACACTGTAGCACTGGAACCTTAGTATTTAAGTTGGCATACACATTCGTAACTTACTATACCAAAAAAATCTTTTAATATATTTTTAAACATTTTTAAATACTTTTTAATATTTTTAATATTCCATAATATATTCAACACATTATAAATCTTGATATATGGTATACCTTTTATATATATCATTTATCTTATTTCTGTATTTCTACTTTAATTATAACACCAACTTGATGCAAAAGTTATATGTTAGTATATAATATGACACGTTGCACTGGTATGGATCCATATCGGTAGTTCACTAATTGTACGTATTGCTATATATGGTATATATAAGTGCCTGGTGGTCTTATACGACTGAAACATAGCAGGAATAAAGATTGAATATTAAAAATGAGTATATTTGTTGTGTTGATGGTTAACATAATTCCTATATATATCTGGAAAACGCAACAGGATGCAACCAATGAAGATCTTATGCACATGTGTGTGTATTGTGAGTATGTGTATATATGTAATTGTCACAGTAACTTCATTTTATGGGCACAAACAAGAAACTAATCTGATATGTAAGATCTAAAGTTTGTGATGGTGGTATATTAATACAATGAATAGTTTTCAGGAAATTTATCAATGTTTCATCCAAATACTTCCCCACAGCAGTCCTTATCAGGTTTGTCTTGAGGTTTCATTTTATTTTGCACAAACTGTTTTGAGATTTAGGTTAGTGTACATTTATTTCATAGGTTTTGTATAAAGAAACATTATAAATTACAAATATTGCCACTCCAGTCTCAATATATTTCTTCCTTACTTCTTTTCGCCATTAAGAATAAAATTACTTTACATCTAACACGGATATTCATGATATTAATACCTGCTATGATAATAATTTATACTTACCCTCTACAAATTTATCAGTAGGACAAAAAGGAGTGCTATTCTCTGGAAGCAAGATTTATAATCACTTACCTTTGAATATTAAATCATTATCTAAAGACATTAAGCATTTCACATTTTTATTGAGAAGCTATCTCACTGAACATGTATTTTATAGCACTGATGAATTTTACAGAACTTCCCAGTGAATACCTTTACTTTATTTAGTTAATAGTTGTAATTTATTTTTATTACCATATTTGTATTAATTTTATGTAAAATTGTTTCAGATGGCTACTGTAAGATTTATGGCATGTATATGAGATTTACTGTTATACTATTGTTATATATTTATAATGACAGTTTCTATATCCTCTAGGTCATTTGACCTTGTATGGATTAATGGAATGTAATTAAATAACAATAAATATTAATAATATGTTACATAGCTTTAGCATTACAGTCATAGGACTCACTTGGAGAGACCAGAAAACCAACGACCTCAATCAGAATAACCAGTCTCTGGTACAAGATGTGCATGTTTTATCTCCTGAATACAACTCAGGAAATATCTGTGTGTTTCATTAGAAATACAGGTCCAGCAGACAACATTTAAAATTGTAAACTTTATCTGTTAACACAGGTTAGTCACCGAAGAAGATAATGTCCGTGTGTACCATACTATGGATAATTCTTTTGAATATCACAGGGAGGAACCACAGTACCTTGAGATTTCTTTTGAGCTTGCTCCTGCTGTAGAACATCTCATTTGTTCCTATCCTGATTTTGTGAAGGTCTCAGATTTGCCTTTGGATTCAGAAGAGCCTAAGGTAATTTATTTCTCTGCATGGTTCCTTTAGTGCCTTGCACCCATTCTTACATTTGACAGATCAAGCATCCAGTGTGAAATTGTAACCTAATTTTCTTAGTGGAAATCTATTACGAGTTATAGCAGTAAGAAAAAAATATGCTGTAATCAGTGCTTGAGGTGGAATGAAAATAGAACCGGGATGCCATCCTGCCGCATCCCGCCCCACCTCAAGCCCTGGGTATTGTACATTGCATTTACTGCCAAAGAAGTAACGGGATGCTTTTAAGCCATTTAGAAAAGAACCGGGATGCCATCCCGCCCCACCTCAAGCCCTGGCTATAATGAATACTCATGGATTATTTGTAAGTTGGAAGTGCATAATAATGAATGTAGCTTTGGAATTATTAGTATTTTTAATATTATTTTTAGTAGTATTTATTTTAGTGTTACAAATAACTGAATTTTGTAGATTTGCTTATGGTTTTTTATTACTTAATCAGGTAGTCAAGCAGTCATTTTGAATGTGATAGGTTAGCTTAGCTTGTAGATTCTTCTTGGTAGGAATGGATGTTCATGAGCCATTTCAGATGTATAGCATTCAAAGTTTCTGCTGCCAAACTTAAGCAAGATGGCTAGGCAATGAGTTATAATACCAGTTTATCAAGTCAGCATGTGCCCTTCCTAATGATACAGAAATGGAATTGCTTAATTTAAGGTTTTTGTCTTTATTACCATGCAAGCTATTTCATAAAATATTTACATAAATTAAATTGAAATGCTCCCATCCATTGAATTTTAGTTTTTAGAGGTCTGACGACGTAATATTTCTGTGTGTGTACGTGGCCGCATCCAAACATTCTTGCTGATTATAAATGGAACATGTGTTCCAGAAAAATACAAAGCTGGAAGATACAAAGAAAAAATTGTATTCTTTATGGAATGTGCTAAATACAGGAATGCAATTAGGATATTACTCTTTGATAGAATCATGCCAGACATATAATAGCTGAGTTTGGGTACAGCGAAGGAATAACATTTTCCATCTGCAGTCATAATGTATTTAGTAAGTAAATCAGTCCTCATGAGAATCCACAAGGATTGTTTTTGATGTGGTTTGTTGGGTTTGTTTCTCCAGGTGCAGATTGCTGGTGATCTATGGGAAAGAGGACTTTTATTAACTGATGGAGCTCTGAAGATAAGCATTTGTTAATGTGATGTTCCATCAACTGTTCTCTTATGTGGATACCAGTTTTGAATAGAGACTACTCATGATCTGCTGTATGATAAATGTATTGTATGAAATGTATCGTGCATGAAATAAATATTACAAATAATATGAGGTAATTACTTTATTATAAGTCCCATCATATCTTTATATGCTTTTCATTATTTTCCTATTGTAGCACTTCTTAAAGTTGCATATTTACACACATACAGTGAGCACCCTTGTTTTATTGTTGAAGTGTGTTGTGCTTAATTTTTCCATGAAAATTTCATATGCATTTTGAATTGTTATTTTGCTTTAAATTATGCATGATTTTCAGTCAGAATGTTTGGAGGCAAGAAGATGCTTATTCAACTATACATCGGATCCAGGGAGCAAAAGGTGAACCATTTGCACATAAAGCTTGTGAAGTCATTGAGCTATATATAGGAAACACCAAATAAGAGATGTATTGTTTTTCACAAAAAGCTTCTGAACTTTCAAGTTTATATGTTAGAACCTCAGAACAAGAAATATACTTAACACATTCACTCCCATATCCGACCGGCTGTTGGATAAATGTTCCCATATGTAGATTACTTATCTGACTTAGGTCGGACAGCTATATATGCAGATACCTGTCTGTCATGGTTTACAAGTGGAGTGTTTCAAGATTCTGCTGATCAGTGAATGCATTTAAATTTCCCACTGACTGGCTACTAGCAAATGTGTTAAGACCTACAAGTTTTGGTGATGGTATATTAGTACAATTATTGACTTTTTTTGGATAATATCCATTGTCCTGTTTTTTATTTGAAAACGTTTCGGAGACTGGGCTCTGTCCCCATCCATGTAAGAAGTGTACTGTTTGCACAACCAGTTTATGGAGTCAGCCATCTACCATATTTCCTAGTATAGTTCACACACTCCCTCCCCCCCCCACACACACAGAAAATTGCTGTCTGAAACTTGTGCATAAAGTATGAGAATATCACAGTTGAGAATATTATTTTGCTACCATCATTTAGAACCTAGCTGAATAATTGTTGTATTCTCCTATGTTTGACACACATTCAAATTGCTGCTTATTGTTACTAATTTAACTTGAAATGATAAGGGTGACTGTTGTGACTCTGATATGGCTCATCGAGTCCCACTAATAAATTACTTTTATGATGCAGACTGTAACTGCTGTCAGTTTCCTAGAATTTCCAACTGCATTTGTTGAGTAGAAATCTGTCCATCTTGACACAAAGGGATGGAGAAACAAAGTAATGAAGAATGAAAGATTACTGTTAGCAGCCAAGTGTATAGCCATGGCAGGGTCTTGTAATTGTGTGTGTGTGTGTGTGTGAGAGAGAGCGAATATGGGTAGTGGAACATCTGGGTGGTGGTTTGTTGCAGGAAGTGTCTTCATGTTTATATACAAGTTAGAAAAGGATGTACAGGTGTCCAGAAATTTGTGATTCCTTGACGAGTAGTGAGCTGGAAATGTCCCTCTTTTGAATGACATAATTTCTGTATTGTAGTGTGTACACCCGTTACTATATAGCGACTGCGAAACAAACAGGTCCCCATGCACAACAGTAGAGGAACTGTTGGAAATGATCTGCATGGTTTGTGCCAAGGGGTTATCAATGGGACAAGTTTAGAGTTTAGTGCAGTTGCGGAATATATAGTGATATGAGCACAGAAGCTGAAAAATCTCCAGTGTTAAGAGCTCCTTGCTCAACATTGACATGAAAGTGTCTCATTATACGAGGGTCGTACTGAAAATCGTGAGCAACAATTTTTTGTAAAACAACATGCTTTATTATTGACAAACCATATACACCACCTGAGTCTACAGACCTTTCTTTATTTTTCCACATAATTGCCACTTCTTTGCACACATTTCTCCCAGCATTATGGGAGTTTGAAAATTTTCCTTCTGTAAAATTCCATTCTAGCCATCCGAAGACACTGAAGCACTCCTTTCTGAATTTCCTCCCTTGTCTCAAAACGTTGTCCACGCAGCTGATCCTTCAAAAATCCGAAAAGATCGTAGTCGGAGGGTGCCAGATCAGGGCTATAGGAGGGGTGTGGAAGAACTTCCCACCCCATCTTTGCAATTGCTTCCAATGTGAACTTTGTGGTCTTTGGTCAATAACCACGGTACCCAACGAGCACAAACTTTCCTATAGCCCAAGCTTTCAATCATCTCCTGTACTGCACTGTGCCCTATTCCAAGTTTTCGGGCTATTGTGTCCACAGTCACGCCTGTCATCTTGAATGATCTCATCCACTCTTTCCTTATTGCGCTCAGTTGAGGCTGTTCGAGGACGACCGCTCCAAGGCTCATTTTTGATGCTGGTGTTCCCATCTTTAAAATGTTTCACCCATGCACAGACTTCCATAAACACACTGAATTCAGTGCGTCAGTGCCTTCGGATGGCTGGAACGGAATTTTACAGAAGGGGAATTTTCAAATTCCCAGAACGCTGGGAGAAATGTGTACAAAGAAGTGGCGATTATGTGGAAAAATAAAGAAAGGTCTATAGATTGAGGTGGTGTATTTGGTTTGTCAATAATAAAGCATGTTACTTTACAAAAAATTGATGTTCATGACTTTTAGTATGACCTATGTAAAATTTTGATTGATAAGTAATTTTTGCAGAAATCACAATCAAAGTTTCCAGTGTTGTGTTGCCATATTACCTTCACTTTTAAACATGAGTTGAGCGAACATTATGAGCTGGTCAAAACTGTATCAAGTGGCATTTTATCTCAGTGTAATGTAGGAGTCTTATGCAGTGATGAACATTTACAGCATGTGTGTCAGCAGCAGAAGCATGTAAATGCCAGTAATTGTAAATTCTTCCATATTTAGCACCCTTCATTCTCCTTCTCTTTCCATTCATCCATAAAATTCTACCCACCCACAGACACTATCACATCCCTGTGTTGAGCAAACATAGTGTGCAGTACTTCAGAAAGTTTCCCATGTTTGTGCAGATAGATAATGTACAAATTGAGGAGCTGGTAGTGTGAGAAGTCACAAGATGATTTGTTAACTTATATTCATATTTCTTTAACCTCACATTTGTGACTAAAAGCTGGAGGTAAAAGTAGATATTATGTGTGAGTAAAATTTCTTGTGTAAAAGTTGGGGTGCTTAAATTATTTGAGTATATGTGGTATATACAGAAACACCAGTTTAAAAGATTAAATACAATGCACAAAACTCATTAAGTCATTCACAGTGAAGTTGTTCTGATTAATTAAAATGTAAATTGACAAATTAAGTCACAGTATGAGAGCTGTCTAAACTCTTTGACAAAAAAGCAAAAATGGAGTTGTGTATCATTTTTCAGTAAGAGTGAAGATGTTTGAACATGAATCAATCAATAGGGATAAAGTAGGTTGTGGTGACATAAAACAAACTTTTAAAATTAATATGCAGCTTCCAAATCTAGGGACACAAATTTTCCATCACATCATAATCATAATAAGGAGCATGAATTCTTTGTTCAGTGATATAACACTGCTTAGTCCGTTGGAAGTCAGCCAACATTTCACTTGCTACTTGCTTCATGCTGGTTTCTTCTTTTGCTTATTCTCTGGCCCTGAAGATGGAGAAAACATGTTCCTCCAGAAAGTCAGCTGACTTTCAGTGGACTACACAGTGTTTATCCCAGAAGATAAAACTCTTAATAACCACTGCTGTGAGAACCTCAAGTATTACAGAGAGCTTGAAGTTTTCTCCTCATTAGGTCCGAAACATATCTCCAAAATTTTGGAACAGTTTTGTCCAACTTTTGTAGATGTTGCTAGTTTATACTAAGGGAATTGCAAATATGGAATAACATTTTTATTATGTAATAAATAGAGGTGGCTTACATAGTGACCTAAAACTAGCATCAAAGCAAACTGAAAATTATTTAATCATTTCCATCTGCCTGTCTGCCTTTGACAGGGTCCATTCTATGGGACTAATTTTCACCCCAGTATTTTGGGCTTATGTTAACTTCCATCATGGTGTTTTGATTTTGGTTCAGTTCAGATCATTTAAGACCCAATTCACTTGCGGGCATAAATGAAGTTGTACATGCATCTTCTGTGTCTTTTGTCATATTTTTATAAACTTTATATGACACCATAGTATTACAATATTTTGACAACGTGGGTTGCTGTTTCTTGAGCAGACATTTTTATAATTGGTTCATCTCTAATTGTCATACTAGTGGATGCTATTGACTATGATACTTGCCACATTTGAATCAGTGTGATTATTTCTTATGGTAATTTATGAAAGTGTTAACAGGGATAATTCACGTATGGTTGAACAACAGAAAGCAGAAGTCACTGCTGCTGTAGTAAAGGAACTGAAGGAACAGTGACTTAAAAATTTCGTTTGACATCTTTATATAGTACTTAATGCACAGAGATTAGATCACATACTGGAACTATTTTCATGTGAAGAATGAGCTCCAAAGTTGTATTAATGTTGTGACATTAGAACCAGTAGTGTCAATGCATCGCGTCACTAAATATAGGCACTTAAAAATAGAGTTTCTGATAAATTTGATTTGTTTCATTCTGATCCGTCACACTAACAATATTATAAAAAGTTAAAACAGTTCTGTCCAGTGTGACTGGTGAAGATTTTTCTTATTTAAATTCCTCATGCCCTTACATGTTTCAGTCTTTAGAGATCATCAACATAGGGACATGAATACAGTTGGAAGCTACTATTACAATATGTGTTATGAGCATTAAAATATACATATAATGTTGATAGTATAGGATTGGATATAAAATCTGAAGTTTTTGCAACTACAGCGGCTTTCTTAATAAATTAAAATTTTTGTAATTGCTTTTAAATTTTTTTTTAGAATTTATAAACCAAGTAGGTTTGTGTCCACTTTCTTATTACTTCTCTTGAGGGGGCCTAAACGTGTGCCATCTTATCGTTCTTGAGAAGATGGTTTTTTGATGTCGTCCACGAACACCCACAGGACTACATCTTATATTTATAATAAGAGTTTCTGATTTTTCTGCAGTTACTGAATCTTTGATATTATAGAGCTGTACATAATGAACATAGATCCCAAGAGTCCACATACAGGATTATGGCTTCTTGTATTTTGGTTGTGTTTTATGTTCGTCCTTCTTTCGGCCCAGAACGTATTCAATGTAGCTGAGGTAGCCATCTTTGTCAAGATCATCTTGTTCCAGTACTTGGTCTATCAATTCTAGACAAGAAAATAATCTTAAGTCAGTTGTTAGAAAGTAGGATGCTTTGTATTGGCAGAAATGGAAGAGAGATTTTAAAGATGCTGTTTTAGTCCATTTGACAAATAGGAATGATGTTAGCGACCTAAGATGTGGGAACATTGAACCATAAAGAATATAACACAAATTAAATGGCTCATTTGCATAGGAAGACGACATGAAAATGAAGACTTTATTAATATTACATTCTCTCTTTGCTTTTCCAAACAGAGAACTAATTTCACAAGAGATTTGGTTCTTCCTGTAAAAGATTTGTTTATGGTTCATTTGACAATGTTGTCAGTAGCTTATACTAAATGTAGTGTCATACAATGGGATGATAGTAAATAATGAATTTGGTGTGGCATAATTAGAGGCCTTATTTCGGGATTTGCCTGAAGGAGCTAAGGAAAACCACAAGGAACCTTGGGCAGGCCAAGATTTTAAGCTGGAACCTCCCAAATACAAACCAAGAGTGCTCTCCACTCAACCTCGATATTTGGTAAAAATATTTTACATTTAATTATGTGGGTCTTCTTCCTATTCTTCTCCTTCTTAGTCTCCTCCTCTTTATTATTCTTATGCCTTTGGTCAAACTCCTGCTCCAAAGCTATTTCAGCTTCTCATTCCATCTCTTCCTTTGTCAATGTAGACCACATTTTCCCACAGGATAACAATAATGTGCTTGCCATGTTAAACATTCAGGGGGTCATCCGTTTTGCTTTTTTCCTTCAGTTTCTTTGGTACTGCCAGATTTCCTCTGCCACGTTCTCTGTATCTAGATATTCTTTCTCATTTTATCCACCAATATATGGTTAAGTAAGGTTATCTGTCAACACAACAAAAACAGCTTTTCAATCAATATTACTCAGATTGAAATTATTCCATATTGCTTTCTGCATGTTTTGGTCCTCATGGGACCATCATCAGGCAGTATTATATAATATGACTAAGGTTAATTGAACTCCCAATATGGACCCATATTTGGTGCAACGTGTGCGAAAGTTGTCCATCAACGTAACCCCTAATACCTGCCTCAGAAACCTCATTTAAGATGTTTCGGTCTTGTTGTTTTGATTTCTTAGAACCATTGTTTCACTGCCATATAGAAGCACACTGTGCATTCTTAATTTTGTTTCTTGTCTCGTTTCTTGAAAGTATCTTTTAATGACTTCATTGTATTTCTGAATATTCGCTTGGAGGTCTGTGTTAAGTTTAGGCATTGATGACTTGTATCACAGATATTCAAGGAAGTTGGCCTGCTTTGTTATAAGATGTGAAAGGTTGTGATGGTAGCATATTAATACAATTATTGTATTTCTGGACAGTATCCATTGTCCTCTTTTGTTTCAGAGACTGGGTTCTGTCTCCCTTCAGGTGGAACCAACTCAGTTGGGCCCAATTGATAGAGCTATTTCCTATCTCTGGATGCCAGCACTAACACGGCATAAACCATCTGCGAGAGTTAAGACAAATGTTAACAACTTTAAAAAACTCCACACGCGTGAGGCAAAGCACCTGTGTTCAGGCACTGTTTCACAGCTGTTGTTAATCAGAATGAAGTCATCACTAAAGAGGCAAAGTCTCCAGTACCAACATAAAAACAATATTCACACATAATCTACACTGGACAGAGCTGTAGTTTTCTGACTTCTGCTGTAATAATTTGAATCTAGATGGGAAAGATGTCAAAGATGGATTGACTGATCAGGTGATGTACCATGACATGTGAGTGCATTCCTTGTATTTCCTGTAGGGGGTGTTTGCTTCAATCTGCAAGACCTTAGCTTCTTGTCAACATGTTTTGTGGCCTTCTTCACATTCATGTTGGGCTAATTTTGATTTTGCGCTGCTATCCTGACACCTGTAACATCTTGATTATTCTCATGTTTCCTCTCTCCATTGTCATAGCTTAGGATTTGTTGTTTGATACTTTAGTATTAGATGCTTATTCTATTTTGCAGAGTTCTGTCACATTTTATTATAAATTATGGCTTTCTAACACTGCCTTCTTATCTGTAAATAATACTCAGTAAAAATATTATTTCCCACAGATATTCTTTTTGCTTTAATCACTTTCCATTCCCCTGGCACTTTGCATATAAATCAAACAGTAGAGGAGAGAGTCCACACTTTGTCATAAACTCAATAAGGCTTTTCTCATATTGATTTTATATTCTGTTTTGATCATAATGCTTGCATTATCATACAGGGATGTAATAGTGTTCAACAAATTCAAAGGTACAGTACATCATGGTTACTTATATTGATCTATAATTTGCACCAGTTCAGTCTGTTTGCATTTTTGTGGTCTAACAACAGAAGGAACAATAGTAAATTATAGTCTCTTCTCTAGTATTGTTTTCTGCTAAACATTGCCTCCATACATCCAGTGTCAATAAACAGTAAATACTTATTCTTAAATTAGCATATGTCACTCAGGATAGCTGTTATCCAGGCTAGGTTTGAACTTGGGACCTCCTAGGTGAAAAAGAGAATACACAAGAATACATCAGTTCTGTTGACTGATGGTATCCTCTGAAGGCATGTACATCTAATACAGTAACAAAATCATCTTAAAACACTCCCACAAAAATGGAAATGGTACTTCCCTGCCAAATATCATGAACCCTTCTCAGAATTAATTTCTGATTGGTTGCCACTTACCAACAAAATAGTCAAAATCGTCTTGGTCTAAATTCGTGCTTTTTTCTCTCTGTGTTTCAATCTGCTGTTGATGATCGTGAAAGGCCCCACCTTCTGACTGTTCCTCATTATAATGGACTGTATGCTGGATTGCTTGTAAGATCTCCAGCCCATCCAATTTAGTATTATTGTCAAAATCATGTAGCCTGGACAAACCATCATTGGACATTAATATTAGAACTAAAACAAGTTGAATACACATGTTTTCAAATGTGTTCTTTAATTATTTTGATTCCTCAATAGCCATGATATTTATATATTGCAAATACAAGCTTACAGTTGCATAGTTAACACAGTTATCACGACATAATTAGGTATTACTTTTACATGCAATCTGTTCATTATTCAACTTAATGAAAGATATTTAATATGACAGATGAATGAATCCATATTTTATGTCAAGTCACAATCTTTTACAGTAACCAAATTCTTTTCAATAAATTTGTAATATTTAGTTTGAGCTTTGTGTAAAATAGTTGTAATACAGGACTAGTTGAAAGTGAAATTTCTTTCGCCAAACAGCTTTTGGAGTAGACACCCAGTATTGGTACTGCAGTATGTCAAAATATATTCACTGGGTTATGGATGAAACGTTTTGACAGACATACATACCTCCTTGTTATGAATGTGTGAATTTATAAATGCCATTTAATTTCTTCTAGTATCGACACCAAATATTATAGTGATTTTTGTGCCAATTGTTGAACCCATTAAGCTACATTCTGATTTTTGTGTGTCATATTTAAAAAAATATTAGTAGGATGCTCAGTTCAAGTTTAACAAAATTATAGTGTGAGGTTATTACATATTCTGTTTTATATCAGTATACTACAGTAATTATTAAAAGAAATTAATTTATAAAACCAGTTAATATAATATACTCACTTGAAGTAATGAAATTCCAATTCTTCTGGCGTCATTTTATGAGTATCCACCTTAGAGACCCATTCGCCAAGATCCTCACGAATGTGCCTGCAGCAAACAAAGTAATACTGTTCATGTCATTAACAGTATTCATTTCAGATTCCTTGAAAGGAGAGAAATCGAGTTGCTAAAATGTTGATGACAAATGCAAAGCAAAAGGGTAAACAGATTGGTATAGTCAAAAACTGGAATATATCAGTTTGGAATGTGAAAGATATAAGCCATGAGCTAGATGATTCGAAGAATTGATTAATAGAAAGTTAGATATGGCTATTTTATCTGAAGCAATGAAAAAAACTAAAAGGAGCTGCAGTGATAATGATAAGTAAAAAGGCAAAAAATAAAATCTACAGCTATATTTTTATAAATGAAAGAACTGTCATGAGAAGACTATGGATAGACAGAGGGTACATAAGTATTGTAAGCACGTATGCACTAGAAGAAAAGCAGAACGAAGATACTGCAGGAATTCTACAAAATTCTACAAGATACATTACAAAAAGTGAATAAAACTGTTTTTATTTTGTATGGCCAGTGATATGAGTGCTAGGGTTGGCAGTACACCAGTACATTTTGTATTAGGAACAATTAAAAAAAATACAATCAGAATGGAAGAAAGTTAATAGAATTTGCTACAGAAAATTGAGACTTTACAAACATATTCTTCAAACACAAAGACATTCATAAATTCACAAGGAGTGCTAGAAATTGCAGGTCAGTAATTGATTATATTTTAGTTAGTAGGAAAACTGAAATGCTGGTGAAAGATATAGATGTCTACAGAAGAGCAGGTGTACACTGAGACCACTTTCTTGTGATTGCAGAACTGGCATTGCCCAAAAGATGAAGAAAAAACATTTGTCAAAAACAAGAGAAGGAAGAAACTTTTAAGGTCGACTTGGTGTAGGAAGAGAGCATGTTGAATGTACAGGGAAAGACTAAAGAGATACATGTACCTTGACCAAAGAGCAGTAAATGACAATATTAATTTAGAATGGAATGAATTGAAGGGTTTGATGATTCAAGCTGCAGATGAAGTGGTAAGACGAGAGCTTATGGACTTGAATCGAAAACATAGCTCACCTAATAGTTGAGGAAAAGAAAGTGTTCTGTCTTAATTGTCATTCCTCTGGCACTACAGATGAGGCCATTGGTGTGGATTTCAAATGATGTCAGTCAAGGAGGTTAAACACAAAAAAGGATGAGTAATGTGAGCTGGAAAAATGAGGACATCAATTCCACGGAATAGAGCCCTCTTGAGAAGCTGATTCTCTGTTGTTTTTAGCCCCCCCCCCTCCCCCATATATGAAAAGGTGTTTTTTGGATTGTCGTCTCATTGTATGTATGTATGTATGTATGTATGGTTTTGCACCTCGCTAGCTCCACAACAGTTGGGCGGATTTTGTTTTTATTCGTTAAAGATTTTATTGTCATGCGTCAGTGCGTGGTGAAGATGAACACTATAACCCCAAAATTGGGGCCCTTCAAATGGACTGCAAAAACATACTATCGACTTTATCTAATACTTATCTAAATATATTGATTGCATTTTTGGTAATTTATAGAGACTGTCTCTCTAAATAAGACTGTATCCGTAGTGTCTTAAAGAAAATAACTGTAAGCGCACTAGGGACCCAAAGGCGAAATGTCGCTTTGTCGAAACCGGCTTTACCCCTAGAAAGAAGTTTATTTCTGTTGAGTATTAAGTAAGCAGCAGGGTTTTACCGATCAACAGCCTGTTTCGTTTCCAAGGTAACGTAGTCAGTTTCAGTCGTATTTGCAATATCTTAGCTGCAATGTTTGTAACATTGCTTACTTTTCTTGTAGACCAAAAAAGCTTTGTTTAAAAATATATACTCAGTTTCTGATATATTTCAGTTTAACAGGACCATTTTAGGCGAAAGTTACACTAAGAACACTTCAAGAACAATTGAACCTGCATACAGAGTCTAATTTATTAAAAGTTATTATATTGATTTGTGTTTCGAGCCCTATCCGTCTTGCAGCTGTAGACTGAAACAGTAAAAGGGCACACTTGTATGTATGTATGTATGAAAATATATAGATGTATCGCTTATTATCACGGTACAGTCAATTACAAAAGAAGTTCTTGAAATGAGTTTAAAGTTTTCGCTTTCCCAACATATTTCGATAATTACAATGTCATATTCAGGCGTGCCTTTTTCAGTAATAAAATATATATAAAATCATGTGTTAATTCTACTCATGTATACTGTATATTAGTGAAGCTCAGGTAAGTTTTATATAGTTCTCGTCAAAACTGTCGTCCCAAGTACAGGTGGATACAGCCAGATATTTAATGACACCAACACAAATTAATAACGTGTTGAAGAGAACGTTGGTTGTAACGCCTTGTATTTTGGAAAGAGTCCGAAGTTTCGGATGGATATATCGCCTCGGTCGAGGAAACAAACAGTGAAAGAAACCAGCAGACACGGGCGACAAGAATGGCTTATCGTGTAGGGTTTGAGTTTATTAGCTTCTGCTGGCTTCTTGTTTGACTGCAAACGTTCGCAAAAGTAGATACAAATTAGAACTCTTAAGATAAATTCTGAACCAGTTTTAAAGTTCTATTTACAGTTATGCTGTGCACCTTGTCACGTACATTTCTTTTTTAAGCCATTATATATAACAGACTGAAATGAAAATATATGTATGCATAAGTATATATAGGTGTGTGTGTGTGTACTGTATATCAACGTATCATAATTTTTTTATTACTAGTGAGGTGGGACTAAGTCCCTTGTACTGCGGCCACTTCTTGCCTGCTGTACCAGCCCCAGATGATAGACGAGGGTGATTGTGGAGCAATTAGTAGAATGAAGATTGGCAGGGGAACCGAAGTACTCGGAGAAAACCCGGCCTAGCGCCACTTTGTTCACCACAAATCCCACTTGACCAGACCGGAATCGAACCCGGGCCGCCGCGGTGGAAGCCAGCGACTAACCGCTTGAGCTATGGGGCGGCCTACCACAATCTTGCCTGCATTCCTCGTATTTCATTGAACTCTTAGTTCCATAACCGTAATCGCAAGGGCTCCCGCTAGACTTCCTTCTGAACCAGTTGGATTCAACCCTCATTCTCGTGACTTATTTGTTTAAAATCAAGATCCTCCGTCTAAGCACTCTTGACGAATGATGTAAAAATATTTTTGTTAACAATAGCAAAACCCTAATGCCAACTTTAGAGGATAGAAGGTATCGCGTGGTCAGCGCAACGAATCTCCACGGCCGTTAATCTCGGTTTTCTATACCGGAGCCGCTATTTCCTTGAAATAGCTCCTCAGTTATCCTCGCGAGGCTGAGTGAACCCCGTTCCAGACCCACTACTTCTCAGAAAATCTGGTAGCGTGGGGAATCGAACCCGGGACCTCTGGATCTGTAGCCAGGAACTCTGACCACTAGACCACTACGCTCGGTCGGTATAATTCGTTTGCGGACTACAGACCACGGAGTTTATTTATAGCAAAACCCCCCTTTTGACATATACTTACTCAGTATCGTGCAGCAGATCTGTGTCCTGAGTCAACTTCGGGGCTTCGACGACCGCTCCTTCTTGGCGATGTGGGCTGTAATGGTGATGTGTCACAATCTTCCCTCTGGGATGATGGGGCCCCCTCATGCCATGGCAATTTCCAACGGAGGGCTCTTCCATCAGAGTTACAATACATAACAGGATCCCAGTTCGAATGAACATTGTGTCTCGTACAAAAGAAACGCCTGTATTCTTGAGCAGTGATTTCAGACACTGTTTAAATTATTCGGATAGGCTTAGCAAACTGGAAAAAGAAAATAAACGAAAGATCAGTATAACTAAAACAATAACCGTATCATATTGTCACGTGTAGGGGTGACTCTCGACGGGGTTTGGATTGGTGAATGGGTTTATTGACCACTTATACACACGACTCGGAACTACAAGCACTTACAGCACCACCACTAATCTCCACAGTTCACAAATCACCACAGCACCCAATAAGCCTTTTCCAGCCTGCTATATCTTCACCAGCCGTTCCCTGTCAACGGCTTCTATGAGTGGAGATTCTTCAGCTTCACGCGCTGAAGTCCTCTCTTCACAAAATCCTGTACAGAACTGACTAAGCTCAAAATCAAAGTCACATTGTGACTGACGGTCGGTCAGTCAGTAAGTCTTGGTATCGAGGACCCCCCTGGGGCCCATGACCAGATATGTATTACTGTTTGACAGTTACGGTCTTGTTTTTATGGGGCGCCCTTCTCTAACGAGAGGACGGGTCTGTCTTTTGTATATGCTGCTGACCCTTGTCAGCGCAGTCTTTCACGTGTCCGAGTCCTTTGGGACTCGCGATCGTACTTTACAGTCTCAGATTTGAGAATTCACTTTTCATCATCTCCTACGACTCACAGGGTCACGGTGGATGTATTCGACCCCGCCTCCACGCGGGTAGACTGAGCTCTAACCTTGTCCTCTGGTTATAACATATCGGCACGGACCACATAGTAAACACAGCTCTTCCATTATTGTAGTCCAACATATTATCATGAATTTGTTGCCTAGAAACGGGAACGTGTTTACTTAGCCGTTGCCCATAAACGGCTCTGGTATGTCTGCCCATCTCGCGGTCGTTGCATAGCAGCGGCTATACATGCTACTGTATATAAATTAAATTAGGAATACATTAAAATTGTTAAAGAATTGAAGTGTGTGTGGACTGAAATTTGTCAGGGCAAGGCCTAGGGTCAGGCTCTTTTGAGCATGGCAATGAAATTCCATAAAAGTCAGCTGTGTAAAGGCTCTGCTCTATGGAATTAGTTAACTATAAATTACATTTTTATTCTGAGATGGAGTAGTTTATAGCTGGATATTCGTCGAGTGTTATTTACTGCAGGATGGTTAACTGCGTCTCCTCTGAAAATTGTTGGTTCTATTTTAGCTGTTGGCTACACTGTTCTTGGCAGGTTCCGGGCTCCTTGCTGTAGTCCAGATACCATGAATTTTAGTGTTGAAAGTCCAGTACACTTTCAGACATATTTTACTGGAGATGTTCGCTCGTGAAGTCGGCTTTTTCTCTGTTTATTTGTGCTTGTGAGAAGTCACCGTCTGGAAGTCGATAGTCTAACGAAGGTTCGTATTGTGCTTAAAGCATATATTTTGATATTCTAAAATTAATTTTATACGTGCATTTTATACCTCCAAAATAATTAAGTGTATCTAAGGGTTATCAGATGCTCATGTCACGCTGCACACTGTTTCCTTCACGACTGACGCCTATCAAAATGTTTGATACGAATTAGACGTCACGTCATTATACCTGTTTTGTGACGTCGATTTTACTTTAATTTATGGGGTTTACTTTTATCATCTGTTTTGGACAAGCAGTCGGATCGTGAAACTGACAAATTACCTCCATCACGCAGACCTACTTTTATTGGCATGTTGCTTTGATGTAAGGGCCTTTTTTTTTCTTTCGCTGGTTGTACAGCCCCCCTTGGACCCTAGACTCTGACTTTTTCAGTTTCATGATTTACAGACGGCTGGACTCCTTGGATGAGTGATCAGCTCATCGCAAGGGACTATTTTACCATGTCTGTGTTTCTACATTGCTGCAGGAATTTGTCCAGACGGACGAGAATTCGGAGTTTGTAGTTATTCAGTCTGGCAGTGATTAATGTGTTATTGTGTCATTTAACTGTGTTTCAAATGAAGATATGGGAAGGCGAGCACATGAGTATGAGGAGATTACCGGTTTGGCTTATATGAAGAAATTCCCAGTTCGCTTGGAGAGACTGGGGAAGACAAATACATTTAAATATTTATATAAAAAGACACGTGAGACACGTGACATCTACTCTCTTCTGTGTTTCTTTCCAATTATATGAAGCAGCCAGCAGATTTTGGCTGGTCTCAGGACAAAATTTTCTTAGACTTTTTTTTTTCCTTGGCACTACAGCCCCAGTGGGCCTAGGTCTACCTCCATGAACTTCTCCGTTCACTTCGGTTTTTGTAGATCTTACACATTCGGTAGGACTCCTTGGGCGGGTGATCAGCTCGTCGCAAGGCCTCTACCTATACACAAACAGAGAAACACAAACTAAACATCCATGCCCTAAGTGGGATTCGAAACCACGATCCCGGTTTACAAGCGAGAGAAGACAGTAAATGCCTTAGACCGCTCGGCTACCGTGACCGGCCGAGACATTTGTTTGCATAAGCCTAAGTCCCAAACGTTTCGTTTACGACTATCTGATATTTGCCAGGCCTGAAACAAAATCATTTCTCTTGCGCCATGTTTGACATGTTTAACAGTATAAAACAGTGAATATAATTAGTCGAGTTTCTGTTAATATAAAGATCGTGAAAGGAAGTAGTAATTACGATATATTTTTCGGTTCTTTTTTTCCGGAGACTGGATATACTTAATGTTTCGGATTCGGCAAATCGATAGCGGACTGTACTGAAGTCGGGACCCTGAGTTAGATACGAACATCATGAACCATAACGGCACGGACTTTTATTCTGCTCCAATAAATTGCTGCATTAGCAGGCCTCTGATCCAGCCGTCCCGTATGTACATGTCCCGCGCCAAGTACAGGATTACATCGCTCACTGCTAGAGCGACACAACCGAGCAGGATTAGCAGGAGCAGCGCGGCTTACTTAACAGTGGTGGTGATTTTATCACGTTGGTTTTCGGAGTATTGAAACGTCATTGATAATGATGATAATGATGCTTCCCTTGAGGGTTGTGAACAAGAGTCCTCATCCCTCAGAGAATTTCAGTACTCTCCCCCTACCACATTCCACCCTCTCTCCACTGTAGGTGATGTTTGGTGGACTATGAATTGGTAATCGCAGTCTCCCACCCTACAAACCCTAATGCGCTCAATGGAGTAGGACAGAATGGACTTTTAGCTGTAGTGTATATCCTCCGGACACACTTGTCATCATCAAAGTTCCCTACTTTATTCAAACACCATTATTGAAAGTCTGACACGAGTGGGATGGGTCTAAGGGGTGGGAAATCTCACCCTCCATTCTACCCTTAGATTCGGAGTACAGAATTATATTGTACGTAAAGTTGCACATAATTCTTAAATATTCTGAAGCTGTAGTTTTTGTTATACATCTATTCTGAGACAGTCTTCTGATTACTTAACTACCGATCAGAGTGGCCGCTCGGTCTAAAGCATGACCTGTGTTCGCCCCCTCAAACACTGGGATCGTGGGTTCAAATCTAATTTAAGACATGGCTGTCTGTGCGTTTATTCTGTGTTTGTGCTGTCCTGTGTGCGGGTAGCGGCCTTGAGACGGGCTGATCCCCGTTAAAGGAGTCCTACCGATTGTGTAAAAAGACCAAGAAACTGAAAAAAAAACGGCCAAGGTCCAACAAAGAGCTGTAAAGCCATAGAATAGATAGACAGATTACTTAACTACATTCAACGATGAAGTGCTCGAATTCCTTAGTATCTAATGACAGTCTTAATAAATGTACGAATAATGCGTCAGGGCTGTGAACATACTTATTATTCCAGAACGAGAGTGACAAATCAAAATTACGTTCAAGGAGTTACGAGAAGATAGAATCAGAATTCTTCATCTTCCACTTTACTACCTAAAAAGAAGCAAAGCTTAAAATAGACAAACTGTAATCCTTCTATATATATGTAAATGAGTTTCTGTAATGGTGAGTTTAATGCAGAAATTACGTAATTTCCTGTTGCCATAGCAACGAATTGTCAGGCGTCCGTACGATGCATGAACGTAAGTTATGTAGAAGCTCACGAACGAACGACCGAACAGTCTTCCATTTTAGTGTCTGTTTTTAAATATTGGTAAAATACTGGGCACTATGGCCCTTGGATCGACTCAGCCTCTAACAGAAATGAATACCAGGAATCTTCCTGGGGGTAAAGAGCGGTCGGCGCGTAAGGCTGACGACCTCACCGCCATCTGTGAGCCTCGACGTCTCACAACCCTATGGACCTTCACGGCCTGTCACAGGGATAGCTTTACCTTACCTGTACCTTCTTTCCTTTTCACAACATGCACCTTAAAGTTGTCGGGGCACGCGGTAGCGTAGTTGGTTGAGGGGCTATGCTACAAGCCGGAAGGTCGCGGGTTCAAATCCCGTTGAGGTCATTGGATTTTTTTCAATTGACCTAATCCTTCCAGCCGCACTATGGCCCTGGGGTTTACTCAGCCAGGAACTAATTAAATAATTTTCCTGGTGAGTAAAGCGCGGCCGGCGCGTAAGGCTGACAACCTTACCGCCATCTTTGAGCCGATTGTCTAGATAATGTGGGACCCTTAATGTCTCACAACCCTATGGGTCTTCATGACCTGTTACAGGGATAGCTTTACTTTTTTACTTTACTTTACATAAAATTGCGTCACTAATGTTACTTGTAGAATCAATTACAAATGTACTATTTTCTGACGTTCCTGAGTGATGCAATGTCCGAAATTTGTTTTTGATTAGGAGCTCTGTTATAGCCTAAATGTACATAAATCACCTAACCCCTCTTTGAAACAAACTTCTTATCTTCAATATATCTTGGAAATACTTCCATATTAATTTTTACATATGTTTCTTCTGCGAGGGAACAGCTTTCTCTGGAATCAGCTAGCCCATAACCTATTTTATTTATTATTTGCATTATTTGATTAAATAAATATTCTTGGAATGTTCTTGGGGATGGGCGGCCAGCGCGTAGGGCTGACAACCTTACCACCATCTATGAGCCGATTGTCTAGAAAATGTGGGAACCTCAACATCTCGCAACCCTATGGGCCTCCAAGACCTGTTACAGGGATAGCTTTACTTTTTTTTTTAATATTCCCGTTCTTAATCTATTTATACATATCTTTTTGTGTATTGTGTAGACCTATTCTGAGAACTTACCTATTATAGGTTTACCTGTTGGCAAACATTCACTTTATGACTGAATTATTTCTGCTGTTGTTATAATACAAAAACATTAATTCTGTTTTCTATCTCTTTCTCTGTCTCTATGGACAACAGCGAAGAAGAAGAAGAAACCTGTATGAACAAAACGTTCATTTAATTTAGAATTCGATTAGCAGAGGAATTGTCATGTTACTCTCTGAAGTCCCCCCTTCCAGCCCGCCCCTGTGTTCAACAGTGAGTTGAATGCCATATGGGCAGGTCTGGGATAGCTCCAGCGGAGTCCATGAATGACAATGCTTCCCTTGGCAATAGTGTCCCATATGTTTACTCTTGCACATTTTCTTCGCTTGTGTTGGAGGACAAGTGGGATGGGTGGCTGCTTTGGGGGACAGTACAGACAAAGAGAGTTCCTATCTATAATGACAATAATACTGCAATAAAACGTGTCTAATTCCGACTTTTCGCAGCTCTTGACATGCGTGTTTTCCTACTACAGCATAAAACAGAACAAAACAAAAGGTGTAAAAACACGAAAGAAGTCAGGTATGCAATAATGAAACGTGCACACAGGATTTTTATGAAGAATATTCCTTAGCTGAATTTAAATTACAGAGACACGGTGTTGTAGGTTACAACTCCGATCACAAGGCGGAAAATGTTGTTCTTATAATAATACAAATATAGTGCTAGATAAGCCGCGTAACATAACATAATAATGTGCACAGAAGAAAGCACACATGGCAAACAAAATGATATCACTGGAATTTGAGAAGTAGGTACCCAGACTAAGTAAGATAAATGGAAAGAACTGATTAAATTCTTTGAATTTAACAAAGCCTTAAACATTATTCATTCCCATAAAGTGAATAATTATATGAGCAGTAACAATAAAATAATAATAATAACAACAACAGAATTTTTGGTCATATTATAGTAACAGTTTTCTGGTTAATAATACTTGTTAATATGAACATAAATATTACGTGTAATAAAACATGTAGCCATGCGTTCAAATCTTATCGCCTACCTTATGGGGTGCTGATAAGGTATGTTTTTACCAGAAAAAGTGAATCTGCGAAAATGCAGGAAACGACGCACAAAATTACTTAATAAGCATCCCTACATAGAGGACGACGCACTTCCCGTGTCATAAAAAGCTCAATGTCCCACAGTAAAGACACACATGAAGAGCAAATTATCAACCGAACGGCTGATGGACCGCTATGTCGATACTTAGTCAGTGTGAATATGGACGTCTCGCGTCACACTGCGCAGCATCCGAGGCTCGGAGAGCAAATGATATCTCATGCAGCCGCTGTATGGAGCTGCTATGCCCACAGCCCTATCAAGCTAGCATTTAGTCCTTACAGGTTCATATGTTTGCCCACCAAGTATTCTTCTGAATTTTAAAAATATAGGATTTCCTCCAGTATTGAATTTGAACGTGTTATTCTTAATACCATGCCGATTTTGAAAAATTTCACATTTTTAGATTAATTTATATGAATACATGGAGGTCCATCTGAAATAATTTTTAATTCTTTGTTCTATTTTAATTTTAATATTGTTTTGATTTCTGTACTGTCAGGTTCTAAACAGGAGATATTCTCGAAAATAGCGGAGTGAGTCCGACAGAGCACCTGAAATTGTTTTCTTGGAATATTTCTTACGACGCTCTAGCGTTAAATGTCTGAAATGAGTAAACTTAAAGGCAAACACTGTTCAAGTCTGTAATGAATATAAGCCAGCTTCCATGCTCCACGAGTACATGAATTTAAACATATAATCACTGTAAAGGCATATTAAGGGTTTATTTTATTTTTTTTTGTCTGCCAATAAATTCCAATAAAACTTTCATTTTGAACTTCAGCATGAAGTGCAGATGCTAAAGCTGAAATATTTAATTATTTTAAAATATATGGGAGTCAAGGAACATGTACATGTATGTCAGGTAGTTAGGACTATGTCAAGCCTGTAGGAATATATTATTGCATAGACTGAGATGGGATTTAAGGAAGAAGAGCTTTAGGCAAGAGTTCACAACCTGAATTCCCTGTTCGAGCCACTGTGGAGAGCAGCGTCTCGTACTGTTCTGCGAGGTCGTTGGGTGCCAACGGAAATTATGTGGTCGGTAGCGAGAATTCGTAATTCGTTCACGAAATTTAATTATGAAGACTGAAACATATAGCCAATGGCAAAGGATTGGAATTAGATTAATACATTACGCGTTTAAAAGAGAACTGGAACTATTAGAACTTCATAACTTCCATCTTCCACAGCAAAGTTCTAAACATGCTCATTTGTTAAATGGTTCTGTGTTTCATGTTCTAAGATGTAGCTAACTTAATTTTTAACACGGTACATCAATAAGAATTGAATTTGTGTGAAGAATATTTATTAGAATGAATTGTTTGTGGATCCTCCATTATAGAATAATACTCGTAGCATGAGGTCACTGGATTTTTTTCAGTTGACCTAATCCTTCCAGCCGCACTATGGCCCTGGGGTCGACTGAGCCTCTAACAGAAATGAGTATCAGGAATTAATTAAATAATTTTCCTGGGGAGTAAAATGCGGCCGGCGCGTAAGGCTGACAACCTTACCGCCATCTTCGAGCCGATTGTCTAGATAATGTGGAACCCTCAATGTTTCACAACCCTATGGGCCTCCACGGTCTGTTACAGGGACAGCTTTACTTTTTTACTTTTTACTCGTAGCAAGTATAAACATTCATATTTTGCTTCATGCTGTATAAAGTGACCTTAATATGTTGATATGATACGGACCTCATAGAAAACGACGTCTCCAACGATTCTTCTATTGTTGCATGCACATTTGTTGCCGCGGTAATGTTTTTACTGAGCCGTTGACAAACAAAGATAGGGGAATAAACATATAGACACAGACTGGTGGGAGGGATTCAGGGAGTACGCCGTTCGAATGGTCTCAGGTTCCTTGATATACGTTCATTCATTCGAAAGTTGACAAGAGGGATACATAGACACATGGTGATCGAATAAGCCTACTTTTATTTTTTTTTATATAAGGAACTTAGACTAAATGAAGTCACTTGAGAAGGAATTAAGATGCCTAATATCGTTCAATTGCTACACTCCATATAGTAAGGTTAGCAAGAAGCGGCCTACGTAGTCTAGAGGTAACGTTCCCACCTCATGACTCGTGGTACGCGGGTTCAAACCCGGTGGAGGTCGTGGAATTTTTAAGGGCGGAAAAATTCAGGGAACAAGTCCTCCGGGAGGGACTTTAAGCCGTGGGTCCCATGTCGTAGCTTTACGGCACATAAAAGAACCTCATATCTCCAAAGAAAGTCACTGAGCCAAATTCAAGGACATTTCCCGCCCAACAAGAGTCTCTAAGGCCTCTGATAAATGGGGGAAGCATTATAGATACCGCCAAGCCAGTAGATGCCGAACTCGCTGGCTCGGTCGGGACTGATGGTACGCACCAATATCGGTAGGGTATAGAGACTGGTAGAATATCATAGAGGGAAGCACAATGGACCAGTACTGGTCTAAGTGCATGGGGAAACCCACCCTCTCCAATAACTAACTAACTAACTAAGGTTAGGAAGAACTCACAGTTTATATTATGATATTTGCTGTAAATTTCCTACTCACTTCTATGCACTTAAAGGAAAGGAAGTATCATAAGCTATTCCAGAATCTCCTTATTTGACTACTGAAACAACACAGGTCGTGATGTTTACTGTATCCGGCTTCGTATTGTCTTTCACTTACGAAGTGCGAGAATTCCAGCAGCGCTTGTTGTTGCAAAAGGCTGATAGAGCTACTCTTGCAACTAATTAAGAATGCTGTTTCATGTGTAGAGCTTACAAACTGCCAAATGAGTTGGGGGGGGAGAAGTGAATTATTGCAAGTTAAACATTTGGAAGATAGCGAGCGTTTAAACCCCAGTTAGAGGCACATTCAGGAAATGCCACGATACTTGTTTCCGGAGAGAGTTTCTTGTCTTGGATCTCATGAATTGGAAGCAGGAAAGCGACGACTATCAATGACGTTGTAAAGGTAAATATAGTATTCGAACGACCTAAGTAAACGCTTTATTTCCCTGTATATATATTGGTCATTATTTAATAATTCGTGTGAAATATGAAAGAAAATATAATGGGAATTTTAAGCTCGCTCGTGTAGTTGGTCTGGCGGTTGATAAGTAGGCGAGGTTTCGAATTGGCAGGTTGATGCTGAAGAAGGATTTGTTGTAGTCATGACAACGCGAAGCTGATGTAGCGGTGAGCGGACCTGGCAGTGTTTTATTGATTGGACGCAGAGATGGACGGGTGAGGCGGTAGACTGACACAACGCTACTGTGCCCCTCGTGTGAGGGCAATCCCATTGCCAGTAATTGTGGACATCTAATGTCACAATGCACCATCTTTGTCCGTTGGCTTAGTATGTAACTATACACGAGAAAATTAACTTCTGTCCATAGGTTTGCAGGGTACCTGTTAAGTATATCTCACTTCAGTCCTTAGCCTTACTAGGCAGCCAGTGGTACCTCACTCAAGCACGTCAACTGTCTCCATAGGCTTACAGAAAGCTACGTAATTTGTCGCACCTTCAAGACTGCATCTGCAAATTAAATCATTTGCCAGCTCAACAGGATGCTGGAATATAATATTACATGCATATGTCACTTCTGAGTGTTATTTCGGAAAGGTAAATTATGGTACATATTACACTGTGTTTTACCGGTCACGGTAGCCGAGCGGTCTAAGGCATGTACTGTCTTCGTTCGCTCGGAAGCGGCTATCGTGGGTTCGAATCCCACACAAGGCATGGATGTTTGGCTTGGGTATTTAATTATTCTGTGTTTGTGTTGTCCTGTGTTTAGGTAGACGCCTTGTGACGAGCTGATCACTCGTCCTAGGAGTTCTACCGTCTGTAGAATAATTATAAAATTGAATATCAGAGGCCAGGGTCCAAGGAGACTGTAGAGCCAGTGAAAGAAAAAGAAGTGCACTGTGTTTTGGCCCTAAATTCTCTCTTGTTTTGCTAGTAATTCGCTCATTTGCCGTCTGCAGCCAGATTTACCTAATATTGATTGAAACTGACTCAGTGAAGCCGAGTTTTTATTTTGAGAAGCTTAAAGTCAGTCACATACTCAAGAAAATGCTCGCTTTTTGGAGAAACCGAATGTTTCATAAGATCCCTCCACAAGTCCCTATCCTGAAACGGATGCATTCGATCTACAACCTCAAACCCCTTTGTTAGTGATCCCTCTTCTTATTAATGTCATCTGTTCCTACGCCTCTCAAGAGGTTTCTTCCTGTCAGGACTTCCGACCAAAAATTTGTACGCCTCGAATAGTTCTATTTTCTGTGTTATGAAGTCGCGTAATCCGTTGAAAGTCAACGGACATTTCGGAGAAATATATCGCCTCCATCTGCAGGGTCGACCATGAAGATGGAGGCGACATGATCCTTTGTAACGTCCGTTGACTTTTAATGGACTACTCGGAGTTATATCCCACAAGACAGCACTCTTCATAACCACTGATGTGAGAACCTCAACCCCTACATTTGTAGGAATTGCTTAAATTCAATTCAAATTTATCCACCTATTTGCGCTCCTTGCTAAGTTATTATGAAATTGTTTTAATGTTGTTAAATGACTTAAGAAAGCAAGAAACTAGATAAATGGTTCAATCTGGTTGTCTTTTCTCTTCAGGCTTTATTTAGGGCAGCTCTTACTACTTCCGGGTCACTATTGCTTGTCCGCTTAACTGTGTCATAGCCACGAGGCCAGCTGCGAGGTAGTCAGACAAAGAAGTACTCACTGCACGAGAACAGGTACCCACATTTGATTTGAAGTCAAAATGTAGCAAAGCAGAAAAAAGGAAGGGTAAAATTTTCTACCGAAGCGAGCAAACGAAAGCCACGAAGTGTAATAATTATCAAACACGTGGACACCATGCATCAAATCAATCCCACAGTAGAAGTGCAGAATTATACCTTCATAATCACATTACGAAATGCCGGAATATTTATGCCTTAAGAAGAACAGATATTGACACAGAAATAATCCATCAATACTTCCCCCAATCAATTCATAGCGCTCATATAGAATTTCATTGGTGTTATTTATTATTTATGTAGATGTTTGTAGTGTGGGGTGTCGTTGTATGTATAGACAACCACTTATTAAACTGATATAAAAATATTTATTGTTGTTGCACAGAATATACAGACGAACTTGAACTG